GTTGGACTTGATGACCTTTTAGATCCCTTCCAACTGTATGATTCGGTGATATAAATCTGCCCTTTGCCTACTTGCACCTTCATGCCTGATGCAAGTTATATAAGTCACAGTATTTGCTCATGATACCTGTTTCATCATCTTCTGCCCACCTTAACCCCCTTGCGGGCATCTGTATACTTAACGTTATCATCAACATTTATAACCTGGTGCCTCCCTTGACCAATTGAAGTAACATTTCCCAGTCATGATGGATGGGGACAGTTTACACCAGCTGGGGAATGATTAATGACCTTAAGTCTGTAGTAAAGCTTTTTTGGTAGGCAAAACCTTCCAAGATTCGTTTTTGGCATCTGCCATTTGTAGGCTCTTCAATAACAGTGTTGGACCCAACTGTTAAATCTGAGGCTGTGATGAGAACTGCTCCAATTAGTCTAGGTAGCAAAGAAAGTAATTATTTATCTTGTGGTAGGATGCTAGCCTATGTTCATAATCAAAAAAAGCTACTTTTCCGAGAGTGTTTCTACTGCTTCTTTATAGGCTTTCAGAAGCCTTTTATATTAGCTCTGTTACCCATTTTGATTGACTCAGCTTCCGCTGATCCTGGAGGCCCCATGGAATGAATGAAGGCTTGTGTTGTACAAATGGATTTCAATTGCTTTCAAGGTTGGGGAGTTACAAAGGCTCGGAGCTGCTCGGGGTTCCGCCTTCAGCACTTTGATTTTCCTTTCCAAAAAGCTGGCTCCTTTCTTTCATCCCCAACCCTTGCCATTATCACAAGGCATTCAGTATTTCAAATGCATGTTAGATCATAGCAAAATAATTAAAATCCAAAGCTTCTCCCAGGACTTTTCATCCTCAGAAAAATATTTATGCTGAGAAAAAAAATATACTGATGATTTTCCTGCTCTTCCTCCTTTCCTTTCCTTTCCTTTCCTTTCCTTTCCTTTCCTTTCCTTTCCTTTCCTTTCCTTTCCTTTCCTTTCCTTTCCTTTTTTTATTGCTAACTGGTACATAATCCTAAACTTAGCTAAATGGTAACAACTAACCTACCTTGGCTGATCTTAGAAAGCTAAAGCAGGGTTGACCAAATTTAGTATTTGGATGAGGGACCATCTGAGACATCTAGGACTGTGGGCTGGACTGGGAACCTAAAAAGAAAATCTCAAAAATTAACCACAGCAAACTCAAGGCCTGCCAAGAAAATTACATGGATGTGTCCATTAAATTACCTAGGAGCCAAGTGTGACATGAAGGAGACTTTCTTTTTACATACATCATCCTAAAGCTCCCCCCTCCCTTCATACTTTTGAAAATTAGTCCTATCTCTATCTAACAAAAGCCACATAAAAGCTGATCAGATCCAAAAGTAGATCTAAACCATCACATTTAATCTCTTTGTAGCTGTAAGTGGTTACAGCTATAGAATGCCAATGTGCTGTTTGTTTTCCTTTATTTGTCCTGCTTTGTTGGTATATTATTTGGTCTCAGAAAGTGGCAGCAGCGGGTTGACCTTGGCTGGGTTTGGACAATACAAAGGGCTGGTCTCAGTATCTGGACAGGGGAGCTCTAGGGAATCCCTCAGCTTCAAGGACCTTGGGGAAAAAAAACTATTCTGAAAGAAGATAGTGGCAAACCACTTCCATGTGGTCAGGAAGAAAACAACATGTGTGTGTCCATGAAGACACCAGGAGATCTGTAGAAGACTTCAGTTGTATATTGATGATGGTTCATTTATCTGAGGCTGTAGCTTCACACTGACCTCTTACTTTTAATAGCTGATACTGATCAGATGATGCTTGACTAGAATTGATTTGGGCACCCAGGATTCTTAGTTTTTGTCTTTTTTTTTTAAGCAACTTCATTAGTTTATAGTTTCTGTACTGGGATAGCAATGCAGTGCCTATTTGCAGGCACTAGATGGCAACCACTGACTTCCAAAACAATAGAAGAGAATATCTGTAGCTCATGGCTGAACTGTGGAGTTCTTGGTGCTCTCTGAGCTTGGTCGTTTGCTCGCAGACGTTTCATTACCCAACTAGGTGGAATCATCAGTGCTAGTGAGTGTGGGGTTTGCTCCCTATTTATAATCTCTGTTTATCTGGGTGTTGGTTTGCTGGAGGAGATGTGTTATGGTCATTTTGTTTCTTTCTTAGCTTTTTTATTGTCTCTTTTGAATGGGGTGTAAATGTGGTTTATCTCTATGTGTCTGTTGATATCTGACTTGTCTGAAGCCAATCTTCCAGGAATTCCCTAGTATTCTTGGATTTAGCTTGGTCTAGGATGCTCACAGTTTTCCAGTTGAAACTGTGGTTGAGTCTGTCCATGTGTTGTGAGATTAAGGAGTTTTCCTAGTGTCTTCTGACTGCTAGTTGGCGTTCATGGATGCGCTCCCCTGGACCAAGCTAAATCCAGGTAAAATCACAACTGAGGCCTTGCTCATGGTCACTCACACACAGGTCACTTCCTGGTTGGATTACTGCAACATGCTCTACGTGGGGCTGCCCTTGAAGACCATTTGGAAATTACAACTGGTCCAGAACGCTGTGTCACGTGCGGTTTTGGGTGCCCACGGTTCGCCTATGTTACACCACTGCTAAGTGAGCTGCATCGGTTTCCAGTTTCTTTCTGAGTGCAATTCAAGGGGCTGCTTATCACCTTTAAAGCCCCGAATGGCACAGGGCCAGGTTATTTATGGGACCGCCTCTCCTTGAGTGTATCTGCCCAGTCCACTAGGTCTAACAGGATGGGAGCCCTACAGGTCCCTTCCCTTAAATGTTGTCACCCAGTGGGACCTAGGCCTTCTTGGTAGTGGCCCCTGCCCTTTGGGAACCCCCCCCCCCCATACCCTGCAAGCCCCTACCCTCTTCGCTTTTCAAAAAGTGGTAAAGACAGGGTTTTCCCCACAAGCCTTGGGGTAGTATGAGGCTGAAGCCCAGGAAAATACAATTTGTTTGGATATGTTGTGTTTGGGGCTTGCTGGCTTTGTTTTTCCTGTTTTATTATTGCTTGTGAGCCTCCCAGGGTTATGCTGCGTAAGGTGGGCGGCTAGACAAATCTTTTTGTATCAATCAATAAATACAATTTCAAAGACATTTCCATTTTATGATAGACATCTTTCTACCAAAGACTAGATTAGAGGCCTAGTAGAATGTTCTCAGCAGGCCATCTGTGGACTTCTATGGCAAAATTCCATCTTTCTTTTACTGGGAATTGAGGATTACTTCAAAGAGGTGAACTTTTTAAAATAAATAAATAAATAAAAACAACCTGTAAATATATTGAACTGCTCCCCTTTCCACGTGATTTTATTGCATATTGTATGTATTTGCCTGGTAATTCTCTTTCTCTCTCTCAAAAAAAAATCAATAAATAAAAACCCAGCTTCTGGTAGGAGATGATGGCTCCTAAGCTCTTTTCTTTTCTTTTCTTTTCTTTTCTTTTCTTTTCTTTTCTTTTCTTTTCTTTTC